ATTTAACATCTAAACTACAACTACACTACAATTAAGCTAATGACATGAAATCAAACTAATTAAACTAAGGGAGAGGTACAATCCATCAAGAAATGAGTATGAACCATCAAATAAACCACAAGAACATTCCATTAAGCACTATGTCTTGACAATCTCTAGATCTATAACATTAATACACATAGACATGCATTAACAACACAAGAAATAAAGACAAACACATGAACATCTATTCTAGCATACATAGACATATGGATAGAATGAAATAATCAATTGGAAGCATTAAACCATATAAATTATTGAATAAACAAAATCTATATATATAAAAGTGTCAAAACATGTATCATAATACAAATCCCCTTAAAAATACATAAATCAAGATGTAAAAATCATGCTTAGGGTTAACTCTAGCCCCAAGAGGATGTCTAGCCACTCATGGATGATATTTTCCAACCCTTAAGGGCAAGCTCCATGAAAGAAATCTGCTCCTTGGTTGATGAAGAACTTCCAATGGTGTCTCTAGCCTCCTCTTCTCCTTTGCTTCCTCACTAAGAATTCTCTCCCAAGTCTCTAATTCGCTCTTCTAAGTATCAAAATATATCTCAAAAAGTAGCTCATATTCCTTATATAGGTAGGTCAAATATCACCCCAAATGAGCTGGGCTCGTACACCAAATATTCCTCTAATGATTGGATGTGAGACAACTTTTAATGAGCTGAAATTTGGATTTTCTTGGGATTTAGGAAGTTCGATCGATCGAACTTGTTGTGAGATTGATCGAACATGGCTGAAATCTATCGAATTAAAGCTGGATCGATCCTCTGTGGTGGCGCCTTTTTGGATAAAAACAAATCTGAGATATTTTGAAAATATTTTTGGAAAAAGGACAAAAGTGGTTGGTAGGGTGGTACAGCTGGATAAGATCAATCATTTGGATAAGGACAAGATGGTTCGATCGATCAGAGAATGAAGTTAGATTGATCGAACTTTGAGATCTTTGAATAGGGACAGACATGGCTCAGATCCATCTTGAAGTGTTGAGATCGATGAAAGTTGGATCGATCAAACTTTTCTTGAGATCGATCAAAGTTGCTGAAATTCCACCTTTTGCTTCCTTTTACTCTACTTTGCTACTTTCTTTGATTCATCCCAGAATTGCTTCATTTCTGCTCTTATTTGGCTGAGTTAGCTTATTTTGGGGATAAGTACCTGAAAATGGAAATAACATAAAATCAATTAAAAGCGGGAAAATAAGATAGATAAAGGTCCTAGAATACCTAAGCTTAAGGGGTTTAAATGCGCACTTTTTAGCGCTCATCACATGTACTTAATAATAGTCATAGTACTTATGATTTTATTGTAGGCTTAAACTTTATAAATTGTAAAATGTCCAATTTTCATCATTTTCCAATTTCTAAAATTTTTCGTCCATGGGCATTTTGTCTTTTCTCGTTTTGTGTGCCGGACACTATGGTGTGTACCGATTGTGTCCAATAGTTGGTTCGGACATTTCATTGAGTCCAAGACTCTTTGAAATGCCAAGGTTGCCATTTTTGCATTTTTTCATTTTTCGGGCCGGACGGTCCGTGTGGGACCCGCTATCGGAATTGTTGCGTATGGGATTTTGTTTGGGTCCATTTGCATCATGTTTATTTATTTAATGTGTGGTATATGATTGTGATTTAATACATACATTTGTGTAATGCAAATTAAAACAAAAGAAAAAGAGAAAAGAAAAGAAAGTGGCGGGACCTACCACTATCAATTTTATGGTTTGGAGACCATATTTGGTCTCTAATCTCTCTCACTCCCGTAGCTCTCTCTTCCTCCTTCTTCTTCTTCATTTTTCTTTTTTCATTTTGTACAAAACTTCAAGTCTAGATTTCTCCCACAATACTTGGAGTTTTTGGAAGCCGTTTGTATCAAATCAAAGCCCACGACGAGGCCTTTAAATCCCTACCAGCAATTTCAGTTTTGGTGCTCCCTAGGATTTCCAAAAATTGAGACCATTTTAAGGGTTTTGCACAATCTTAAAGTAGGGGTTCTTAATCCATGCAATCTTGTACTTTTGTGAGTTAACCCTTCATGAATTGTTGTTTAGCATGATTAATTTATATAGAATCTAGCAAATTATTTGGTTGTTGTGTATATAAGTTAATGTGTAACTATGTGTATTATTTGACCTATGTGAAGAGCATGCCTAAGTGTTTATTTTCATATGCCTATCATGCTAGATTTTGATTGTATGAAAGCATGTTGCAATTTCCTTGGAAATTCTTGCGAATCATATTATGTTAATTAAATTTGAGCTAGTTGTGGGATGATGAACATGGATATGGCATGATGCATACATGAACTAGCATTGGGCATGTGATGGGATTAATGTGATTTGAAATAAAAAAGGGAAAATTTGGGAAGAAGTTTTGATAAAGATGGTTTTGAGAAAACCCGGTCGCTGCGAGGGTATCAAAGGACCGGTGTGTTAATATAGCCTAGAGGGAACTAAGGAGATTCCCCTAGCATGGTTGAGCTAGCTGGGCCCCAAATGACGTCGCGGGGGTACCAAGGGACAGGGACACTAGTCAATCCTTCTCTAGTGTTGCTGCGTGGTCACCAAAGGGCGGGTTATATTAACAGTTTGAAAGTGAAGGTTTTTGAATGTTGAAAATAGGGAGCGACATTGGCATGCTCTCTTTCACCTACCATCAAGTTTTTTCTGTCAGATTCTATGGCTCCCACTAAGACTCAGACAGACAAGAAAGCCTAAAAGAACATCGCTACTGCAAAGGTCGACGCCAAAGCCACCATAAAAAGTAGCACAAAGGCCAAATCAAGTGATGGAAGTACCTTGGCGGGCCCTGTAACACATAGCAAGTCCCAGGCAATCGTGTCATCCAAACATCAACAAGACTTAGTGAAAACCAATCCTGCAAAGCCGACAAACGTGAAAACTTAACATATCAAGAACCCTAACATTGTTCCAGAGGATATTCTGCCACCAAATTTACCTCATTCCATCTATGATGCTCACTCTAGTATCGGTTCACCCCTAGAGTCACCACGTTAGACTTCGGAGTAATCAATCACTTCAAGGAACGTTGACTCTCAAGGCCTATCATACTCAGATATGGTCACTGCTATGATGACTAGAGCCACCATGGTAGAGGAACAACTAGCAATTATGGCTCGTTCCATTGAGAACCTCACAAAGACTGTTAAAGAAAAAGACTTGCGGATCGCTACACTGATGAACAAATTGGAAGTTTCGACCTTCAGTGAATCACCAGTACAGTTTGGGAATCCTACAACTTCCACAGTAGTGCCGTGTGGGAATCCTACATCTTCCATAATAGTGCCATCTGGGAATCTTGCAACTTCCACACCACCATCGTCTGGGAATCCTAATTCTACAGCACAAGGTATTCGCAAGGAGGATCCCATATAGACGCTGGTGACAGAACAGGCGCCTGGTCAAACCAATTATGCTTTTTCAGTCTTTTCATTATCTGTCGAACAATTGCAAGATATGATAATGAATACAATCTGAGCCCAATACGAAGGCATCTCACAAAGCACTCTCATGTACTCAAAGCCCTGTACAAGGAGAATCGATTGTATGAGGATGCTTGTAGGATACCAACCTTAGAAAATTCAATAATTTGACGAAAAAAATAACCCCAAGCAACATATTGCCCATTTTATCGAGACTTGTAATAATGCCAGAACTGATGGGGACTTACTAGTTAAACAGTTTGTCCACTCCGTTGAAAGAAATGCGTTCGAGTGGTACACTGACCTAAAGTCAAAATCAATTGATAGTTGGGACCAAATGGAATGAGAATTCTTGAACAGGTTTTGTAGCACTTGTCATACTGTTATTATGATAGAATTAACTAACATGAAGCAATAGAAGGATGAGCCTATAATCAACTACATTAATTGGTGGCGAGCACTCAGTCTTGACTGTAAGGACCGATTGTCAGAAATCTCTGCTGTGGAGATGTGTATGCAGGGAATGCATTGGGGCCTTCTTTACATTCTTCAAGGCATAAAACCTCGCACATTTGAAGAATTGGCTACGCATGCCCATGACATGGAGATCAGTATAAAATCCAATGATGACAAAGGTCCCGTGACTATAGAACCACGCAAAGACAAGAAGGACTGGAAGAAGGGCGACAAGTCATCAAAGACTGCTGCTAAAGATTCCATAGCTATTTCAACTACCCCAATCAAGATATCTGTTAAAGATAACAAGAAAGATGATAAAAACCCTTGCTAGTTTTAAGAAATGGAAAGACAACGTCCTACGCTAAAAGAGTTAGAGATGAAAGAATACCCATTCCACGATTCCGATGTCCCTGGCATATTGGAATGCTTACTCGAAAGTAAAGTTATAGAACTTCCTGAATGCAAACGCCCTCAAGAGATGGGACATGTTAACAACCCAAAATACTACAAATATCATCGTATTATCAGTCATCTAATTGAGAAGTGTTTTATTTTTAAGGAGATGGTGATGAATCTAGCAAAATAAGGAAAAATCTTATTGGACACAGACGAAGTTGTAACTTCAAATCATACTACTGCTACTTTAACAACCTCTATCATGGGGAGTGCTCATTCTCAACCTTCAAATTCTAAGAAATATTGCAGAACCATCCAGTTTGGCTAATTCAAACCAATCCCTATCTATCTTAGCCAAGGAAATGTACTTGACGTTTCAACATTTGGAAGAATCTTTCCTCAAGATTATGAAGAAGGATGGACTCTAGTAACAAGAAAGAAACCAACTAACATTTTTTAGACTAATTATTCTGATAGGGGGCAAAGGAAGAAGAAACCTCAATACCACCATAAACAGTATGGCCATAATAGAAATTGGGTCAAGAAGACACAGTCATCCAAACGTGACTCTATGAGCAAAGGGATCCAGAAGTCCATTACTTTGCAAGAGTTCTTTCCAAGAGTTCTTTCCAAGAGGATATCTAGATGACGAAGTTATGACAGCTTACATGGTTTCAACTGAGAAAACGAGCCCTAATGATGAGAATAGCGAGGATCAAGATGAAGCCCAGACTATAGAGAACCATGCAAAGGATGCAGCCATCATTGAAAAATCCGATGATGATGAAGTAGTTAGAGGTACGTTTTATTCATGTTATGCACCAATTGTTTTCACTGACAAGGATCTTCAGTTGGGTTCGAAGCCGCACAATTGTCCTCTCTTCGTTTTTGGTTACATAAAAGAACTAAAAGTTACTCGAATTCTTGTTGATGGTGGATTAACAATGAATCTCATGCCAAAATTTACAATGAAAAATCTTAGCATCATAGTCGATGAGTTATCTCGTACCGTCTTATTATTCAAGGTTTTAACCAAGGAAGGCAGAAAGCTATTGGCATGATTCATGCAAAGCTAACTATTGGCGAGCTCCAAGCTAAAACCTTATTCCACGTTATTGATGCAAAGACATCCTATAATTTGTTATTGGGAAGGCCTTTGATACATAATAATGGCATTATTCCATCAACTCTTCATCAGTGCTTCACATTCTACAAGAATGGCATATAAACAGTTGTGGCGGACCATAAACCATTTACAAAAGCAGAATCTCATTTTGCTGATGCCAAATTCTATATCGATCCAGATACGCCTTCGAAAGTACCCATCCCAAGCCATCCATCTAGATAAGAGGTTCAATCTGCAAAAACAAAAGAAGTATTAAGTGATCTATTAGATGTTTCAGTGACAAACATTATAAAAGTAGCTAAAACATGAGGGGTCTCGATGAAAGCACATCGGACGAAACCTATTTTAATGTATGTTCCAAAATCTCAACGACAAGAAGGGTAGTCACCTGTCATCGAGATACTTGAAACCAAGGAATTTAAAGTGAAAATGTCGCAAACCAAGGAAAAAGAAGATATGTAAAAGTTACAATGAGAGTTAACTCTTCCTCTTACTAAGATTCAAAAGTCTTCGCCTTCCAAGTCTTCGTTAAAAGGGTTCATGTGGCTTTCTTAATCTCTGGTCAAACATGGATCACTTCCAAAACAAGGACTGATGAAGAATTCGATCCTAAAGCATACCAACTCTTGGCTAAATCGGGGTATGATTTTACAAATCCTGCAAGTCTTGTAAAACTTAATTCTGAGGTCACCGGTGAGAAAGTGCATGGCCTCAATGAGACATAGAAGAAGTTGAAAGAGTAAGGGCATAAAATCATTCCACCCAAGTCTGGTCTCGGTTTCGTGGCTTCTAAGCCACTTCAAATTTAAATCATAAAAAAGGATAAGAAGTCAAACACCTTATACATTGGGTTTGAAGAAGTTGAGGATGAACAAGATCAATAGACTATGCATCAAAGATCGGTCTTCGACCGTACAGGAGCTCCATGTGATCAAATATTTGTATTTAATAGGTTGTCAAGCCAAGAATCAAATGTCTCAAGTTCTCATGTAAGCAGTTTGCCTCATACCTGTATTTTTAACAGAATAAGCTTTCATGACCAAGGAAGAAAATCTCCACAACCTCAATCTCGAAAGTCAATATTTTCTTGAATTGGTACTATCAATGATGTGCCGCTAAGACGCAGCAAGAGTGAAAAGTCAGAGGAAGCTAACATTGACGTGGTGAACAATAATGTAGTTCGGAGCCTGGTGCCCTCGTAAATGAAACGTAAGTTAGTGGTAGATGTCACCAATAATGTTACAGTAAAAGCTCGAAGGCGAACCATTATATTCACTAATCACTCAGAAAAAATGGATAGAATAGAAGACATTGGCGAATCATCTTGTGTTATTTCATACCACGTCACTGTTGAAGAGGAACCTGATTCTGAATAACCAGATGACATCGAGAAAGCTCCACCAACACTAGAAGATAGAGGGCAAGCTACTGTTGATAAACTCAAGGAAATAAACTTAGGGACTGATGATCAACCCAAACTAGTTTTCGTTAGTGCATTCCTAAATCCCTCAGAAAAAAATAATTACTTTCAATTATTGTATGAGTACAAGGATATATTTGCTTAGACATATAAGGAGATGCCCGGTCTTGACCCTAAAATTGCAGTGCATAATCTTGCTGTCAAACATGGGACACGTCCGATTAAGCAGTCTCAACGCTTCTTCCGTCCAGAGCTAGTTCTGAGGATAGAGGAAGAACTCTACAAATTGATTGAGGCAAGGTTTATTCGTGAGGTTAAATATCCAACATGGATTTCGAGCATTGTTCCAGTGAAGAAGAAAAATGGATAGATTCGAATCTGTGTGGACTTTCGTGATTTGAATGAGGCATGCCCAAAAGATGATTTTCCTCTTCCCATCCCTGGGCTCACTGTAGATACAAGCACGAGGCATGAAGCTCTCTCTTTCATGGATTGTTACTCTAGGTACAATCAGATAAGGATGACTCCGAAGGACGAAGAGTTAATTACCTTTCGCACTCCTAAAGGCATTTATTACTACAAAGTTATGCCTTTCAAACTCAAAAATACGGGAACAACATACCAGCGCGCCACGCAAAGGATCTTCGATGACATTCTCCACAAGATTATTGAATGTTATGTTGATGACTTGGTGGTTAAGACGAAAGAACGAAGAAATCATTTACAGGATCTACGTACAGTTTTTAATTGCCTCCAAAAATATCAGCTTAAGATGAATCCCCTGAAATGTGTATTTGTTATGACTTACGGGAAAAACCTGGGATACGTCCCGCAGGCCAGTCAAGGAATAACTAAAAACGTGGAAAAGTTTTGCCACTATCGCATTTGCCAATTACCATAACAAGAATATCGGTCACCAACTATTCAAGCCATTGAGAGACCAACAACAAACTCCGAGAGGTTGTATGGCAAGCATAGACAGCGTCGTCAATAGCCACGAATCAACCTAGAGAGTAATGACAGATGTAGATGGAAAGATGTTTTACCACTAGCTCAGACAATGTTGTTAACACCCACCGCCAGACGTCTTCGTCAGCTATGGATCATCCAGCCAGTGATAGAACGAGAATAGACTCTGAGAGGTCATGCCACTAGCACAGAAGAGTAGTTATTAGCAACAAATCAGCCTGCAAGCCATTGAGAGACTAATAACAGACTCCAAGAGGTTGTATGGCCAGCATAAACAGCGTCGTCAACAGCCACGAATCAACCTAGAGAGCAATGACAGATGTAGATGGAAATATATTTTACCACTAGCTCAGACAATGTTGTCAACACCCATCGCCAGAGCGTCTTCATCAGCTATGGTTCATCCAGTCAGTGATAGAGCGAGAATAGACTCCGAGAGGTCATACCACTAGCAGAGACTGTATTGTCAGCAGCCACGAATCAACCCAGAGAGCAACATATGTAGATGCAGAGAGGCTTTACCGACAACTCAGACAACGTTGTCAACACCCATCGCCAGAGTGTCTTCGTCAGCCATAGATCATCCAGCCATTGATAGAGTGAGAACAGACTCCAAGAGGTCATGCCACCAGCACCGTTAACCGTCATCAATTTTGATGATGATTTCAAGTCGAAGCTTTACCAAAATATCCTGACTCAGTATATAAGCTTACTTATACACCAGACACCACTCTCGAAGTAGCAACTTGACATAAAGTTAACGAGTTATATAGGCATACTTGTGTATATCTGTCTCGAAGATAGAGCTCTACCTTTATTGATTTGGGATAAACTCATACGTCGTACGTCATCGTGGTATTGAGATTGATCCTAATAAAGTTTAGGCCATTCAAAAGATGCTGCCACTAAAGAATTTACATGAGCTTCGAAGTTTACAAGGTCAACTTATGTTCATTCATCGGTTCATCTCAAATTTAGTTGGTCGTTGTCAGTCTTTTAACTGACTCATGAAGAAAGATGCCCCATTCAACTGAGACCAATCTTGCCAAAATGCTTTGGATAACATCAAAAAGTACCTTCTCAATTCTCCGGTATTAGGAGCACCTGTACCTAGAAAACCACTTATACTTTACATTGCTGTGCAAGAAGAATCGTTGGGTGCCCTACTTGCTCAAAATAATGAAGAACATAAAGAGAAAGCCTTGTATTACTTAAGTTGCAAGCTCACCCAGACGGAGCAAAATTATCCTCCAATTGAAAAAACATGCTTCGCGTTTATCTTCGCCTCTAAGAAATTGAGACATTATTTCTTGGCTCATACAATACATCTTATTACAAGAGCTAATCCTCTCAAATATGTCATGTCTAAACCGATCCTTTTTGGATTCTTGGCAAGGTGGTCAATTTTATTCAATGATTTTGAAATTGTTTATGTGCCACGAAAAGCAGTGAAAGGACAAGTCGTATCAAATTTCTTAGCTGACCATCCTATTCTAGCCAATTCAAAAAATTTTAAAGATTTTCCTAATGAAGAAGTTTTTCTTGTGGACATCCTCCCTCCATGGATGATTTTTTTTATGGGGCAGCACGATCAAACGGGGTGTAACGACCCAAGTTTTATTCAACCCGGTGTGTCAGCGGTGACTCGAACATAAATCCAACAATGAATCAGAATACGGATGCAAAAGGTAAAATAATGGTCTTTAGAGATACAACATGTCTCTAAGACATTAATATGACCCTCAAAGAGGTTATAGAACTCAAAGAAAATAAATGTGGAAGCGACATTTAAAAAATGGACAAGAATGAACCTAGGGGCAAAATGGTCATTTTACCCAGAAATGAGTGCTACCATGCACAGCATTGGAAATACAACGAAAACTTAATCAATTTAGACTCAAGAATCACTTGATTCGGAGTCAGGATGGAAAAGATATGAAAATAGGACAAAACGGCTTCCTTCGATTTAGAGATACCACGACCTTATCTCACTAAAACTAATATAACTCTCACTACGGTTGGAGTTTTTGAGTGTGGTTAGAATTATTGGAAATCTAACTTCAATCTCTTGAGGTTAGGCTTAAGAATGACCTGATTTGGACCAGAAATAAAGGAGATATGCTCCTCTGAATTTGACCCAAGAAATCTGTCCAAAAAGCTAAAAGGAAACCAAGTCCCAGGGAGGATCAGCCAGCCGATGTACAGTACCAGCCGGCTGAAACTAAATCATTAGCCATTTGATGAACAGTACTAGTCGACCGAAATGACCTGTTTCACTAGAAAACCTACTGGAATAGGTCTCGAGGCTTTGTCAGCCGGCCAATGGACCATCATTAGCCGACCGACACATCTGCTGCAGCAGAAAAAGCTACTGTAATGTGTGTGTGAGGTGCTTGGTCCTTCTCTAAGGCTATACATGTATTCTACATGATCTGAACAAGTTTGAAAACATTCCCTAGCCTCATTTAAGCATTTAAAACATGCCAAAACAAAGAGGAACTTCAAATGACACCCCCATGCATGAATTTTTCATAAAAATTCATAAAATCGCCCAAAAATAGTTCCAAAGTTGAAACTTAAGAGTTTTCTGAAATGTGGACATGCACGCAAACGTAAAAAGATATTTAAGATACGTCCCAATGATCTGCGGCTTCAAAATAACCCCAATGCAAAATATGACCTCTCAACGGCCAAAAATGCCTTAAAATGCAGTAAATGAAACCAAAAATACGAAATCTAGAACAAAATGGTGTTTGGCTCTTGGCTATACCTCATGTATGATCATAGAGACCCTATGAAAAAAAAAAATGGAATTCCCACGCCCGATGCAAACATGGTGAAGCAAAGACTTAACATTTTCCATTAATTCCATAATAAACCTTGAAAACGAAAGTGCATAAAATACATATTTGATGCCATTGGCTTATGACCTCTACTCATACATGTCAAATACATTACAAGGGTGTACTTATGTACACATTACATATATGAAATCAAAGAATACAAGTTTTGGTATACAAGGCTACAAAATGATATTTCATGCTAACATTTGCATGAAATGGAAATTTAAAAGCTACAAGTCATCTAATGAATGATGTGCATCACGAACCAAGCCTTCAAACCTGAAACAAATTCCCAGTAACTTCGAGGTAAGAAATATAAAGCTACTCGTAAGAAATGAGAATGCATCAACCTAACATTTTACAATTTTATCACCTTAAGGTGAAACATGTCAAAGGGGCTCATGCCACCTAACGTCTATGTCAAAATGAGACTTAAGAAGCATCCTAAGCTACCATAGAGTAATATTAACAAGAATCATGATATGTATACATATATGAAACGAATCAAGGTTGGGATAATCCAAAGAACATAACAAGAAGGATGCTTGAAAATAGATCAACATGAATTGCATTATCTATACAATTAAGTAAGGTTTGGAATAATCCATACAACACGACAAGAGAATACTAGAATATGAGGATCTCATTATCTATGCAATTTACATGATTGGGATATACCAATTTACACGACAAGAGGTATACTCAGATATAAGTTAACAAGAATTACATTATCAATGCAATTAACATGATTGGAGCATTCTAATTAACACGATAGGAGTAATACATGAAATCAAGGATAAGGCATAATATCTATGCAATTAACAAGATTGGAGCATTTTAATTAACAATATTGGAGCATTTCACATAACACGAAAAGTTTTAAATCTTCAAGGAATAGCAACTCCAAATTTAAAGAGTGAAATCAACCAAAATGGATACTCAGATATCGCCCGGATTAAAACCGTACTCTTGGGATCACTTTAAGGCTACTAACCCATGGGTACCTTCCCCTAGTGCGCACTATAGTGTAGGGAGCTCTCTATCTACCGTACTAGAACCAAGTCCTAGCCATGTCAAATCTTGATTGATATCCCAAGTTCCAAAATCAACAAGTTGTGCAACCAAGAGTGTATCAAGATACAAGTAATGCATTAAACCACATTTCATGCACAAATAAGATTTTGGAACACATAAGTCATGCCCTAAGTTCTCAACTATGATAATATGTGAAATGTCAAGAAATCATAGTGTGCATCTATATAGATTAGAACCAAGATATATAGCACATGAAATCTATTGATGTAAATATACCACAAGTATAAGATAAATGATTTGATTATCTACTAAACAACACATGAATAATTAAACCATTCCAAGCCAATTGTGCAAGTCTATGAAGTACATTAATGAAACCAAGATACAATGGTCATGATTAAATCAATGGAAGCATAAAAGGGAATTTAATCTACTTAAGGGATTAAATTATCAAGATTACAAGACAAGTCCAAATATTCTACGAATAAGGCATGTCAAGGATAAGTTCAATATCAAGTTACAAGTTCATTTCATACAAGACACAAGCATGTGAATTAAGTTCTATACAAAGGAAATAAGTAAATGTAAGTCTCAAAACTTATCCAATTATTCTCGAGTTGATACACGCGAAGGAACTTGTCAAGAAAATCATGAATACCAAGTTAGAAACTTAATCAAGCTCATGGAACCATTGAATAAGTTTTAATTAATTCTTTTAATTAAAATCTCTAGATTTTGAAATTCATCCAAATGATTTCAATTTAATGTATGTTATACAACATGTCAAGACTTGATTTAAAAACATGTTGCAAGAATTTTCCATGCAAGGTACGGCCATGACTATTGAACTTTAATACTAGAAAATAATTAAATGAAAAGTTTCAAAACCTAATCAGATATTCCCGATTTAATATATGTGAAAGTATATGGCATACACATCAAGAATATCAAGTTGGAAATCCAATGGAGTGAATAGTCCACATGGAATAAATTAATTAATCAAATTAATTAAATATTACTAGATTTCAAAACATCTCCGATTACTCTCAAATTCACTTATGTTGAAGAGCATGCTAGGGCCTAATGTAATATGATAACACATGTTAATTTCAATATAGGTAAGGCCACATGAATTAATCTTTCATTCAAGAAAAATATTAAATAAAATCTTCAATACTTGTTCAAATGCTCTCAATTTAATATATGTCAATGACCATATCAAGGGGTAATATAATTCTATGCCACATGTTTAAACCTTATATAATGAATTATAATAATAAAATAATAGGATTCATGTAACCGACTATAATTGATTTTATTATTGTGAATAAACACTGATTTTCCAGTCTAACAAGCTATAACCAACCGGGACAATTAAATCCCTCATAAGAAGAATAAATAATAAAATCTCTAGATTTTGTATCAAAGCATGTAAATAAGTTGTATAAACATCACTAGCATGCAATAAATCAAGAATAATAAACTATAACACCCATTACCTCAATTTGAAATGAAAATCTCAAATTCCCATCGAAAGAAAAGTGCTCCGAATCCGTCGATACTTCGGGGTTTTATTGGGGACAATATGGTGAACAAGAATCCCAAGGAAGCCCCATGAAAATCACAACTTGACTTCAAACCCGAACTCACAAAATGGTCAGAAATGGGTTCCAATAAGGGGGAAAGGTAAAACACGACGAGGCCTACGATAAACGTTAAGGCAGAAGACTTTTCACTAAGGAAATCAAGTGGAGGAGAAGAAAGAGTGAAGGCAGCCCCTTGGCCTCCCATGGTTGCCGGCCAAGAGGGGGAGGAAGATGATGAAAAAGTGACTTTTCACTTTAAGACATTCTATTTATAGGAAAACCCTAAAAGTGCCCCGAAAGGGCCCCGCTGAGTCCGGAAAGTGGAATTTGAGCAGACGCACTCAAACAGAAAAACTCTATAAACAAAAAAGAACCAAAATGAGAAAATATGAACAACAGAAGAAACGACGTCAAAAACTGAGTCCCGAGCAGATAGATATGCCCCGAACAAGTTCGGCGGCAATTGGGGCTAGAAACCCTAAAACTGGAGAAAAATGACCAAAAGGAAATTCTAAGAGTACATGACTCGACAAAATGTAAAAATGAATCCCATACGAGAATTTAGGCTCAAAATGAGGTATTTTGCAATAACTTTCGTTAATTGCACAATTGCCCCTCCAAAAAGGGTTAACTACACTAATGGCCCAAATGAAAATATCTTCTAAGAATATTTTCTTAAAAACTCCTAAAATAAAATATCTTCAAAAGATATTTACAAAAAATAACCCAAGAAAAGAAAAAGATTCTGAAGAACTGTGCATCCATGCCCCTATGGACACCAGGAGCAACCAGAGTACTTTTCTTCAAAAGTAAAGATATGTATTTTGTGAAAACCACTTAGAATGAAGATACATGAAGTTAAAAACTAATTTCGAGCGTGAAAAGTGAGGTTGTGTAAAAAAGTGACAAACGGGGAAAAGACGAAATAGGGAAAAGGACGAAAAGTGAATAGTGTCGAAAAAATGAAAATGTGGAAATGACTTGGTCCTTAAAGGAAGTTGTCAATCCAAATGAAAGAGTCTTGGAAACCATTTCTAAGCACTCGAAATGACACCTAGTGAAGAGAAACAAAACTCGGAAAAGAAAATTAAACGGAAAAAATTTATTCGTAAAATTATAGAGAAAGGAAGGTAAATGACCAGGTCATTACACGGGGCCGGAGTAGGCGTAGTTTTTGTTTCTCCAAAAAGACATGTTATGCCATACTCTTTTGCGCTACCTGAAAACTGCTCAAATAATGTAGCTGAATATCAAGCCCTGATCATCGGCCTTCAAATGGCGAATGAGATGAAGATCACGGACCTTGAAATATATAGAGACTTTAAGTTGGTGATTAACCACCTTCTTAAAGAATATGAGGTTAAGAAAGATGATCTAGTGTCATACCATCGTTATACCTCTCATTTGTTGGAACGGTCTGATAGCGTCATGCTAGAACACATTCCGAGGAAAGAAAATTGGATAGCTGATGTTTTGGCAAATTTAGCTACAATATTGGCGTTAACTGATGAGGACCTAGTTCATGTTCCTATATGTCAATGATGGGTCTTGCCACAAGTCCTGGAAGATAAATTTGAAGAAAGTAATTTAGTTTCTTGTTAAACACAAGAGGAAGAAGACTAGAGTCTTCCTATCATTGATTACCTAGAACATGGAAAGCTTCTCGAAGACCTATGCCACAAGACTAAAATATGAAGACGGGCACCTCATTTCATCTATTACAATGATACGTTATGTAGGCGTTCATATGAGGGTCTTTTCCTTCGCTGCCTTGGAAATGACGAAGCAACCCACGCAATGAAGGATGCACATTCTGGGATTTGTGAAGCCCATCAATATGGTCCAAAACTTCACTTTCGCGTCAAAAGAATGGGTTATTATTGGCCCACTATGGTCAAGGACTGCTTGGAGTATGCGAAGAGGTGTCAAGCCTGTCAATTCTATGCTAACTTCATATACTAACTACCGGAGCTGTTACACCCTACTGTGATGTCATGGCCATTCGATGCATAGGGATTAGATGTAGTTGATCCTCTAAAAAAGTCTTCAAAAGGCCACTTGTATATCTTGGTTACTATTGATTATTTTTCTAAATGGGCGGAAGCTACACTCTATAAACATGTGAAAAAGGAAACAGTTGTTGATTTCATCAAGTCTAACCTTATTTATCGATATAGTGTCTCTTGATACATCATCACTGATAATGGGAAAATTTTCAAAAATAGTTGGGTAACAACATAAATCCTCCATATATAATGCACCTACAAATGGTCTCGCGGAAGCATTTAATAAAACTCTTTGTGAGCTATTGAAGAAAGTAGTCAACCAGACAAAGAGAGATTGGCATGAGCGAATGGAAGAAGCATTGTGGACATACTGCACTACGCATCGTACACCTACTCAAGCAACTTCGTATTCTTTTGTCTATAGCGTAGAAACGGTTCTTCCATTGGAACAACAGATCCCTTCGTTAAGGATTACCATACAAGAAGGCCTTATAAATGAAGAAAATGTCATCTTATGTCTTCAAGAATTGGAAGCATTGGATGGGAAGAGATTAGAAGCTCAACAACAGCTAGAGTGTTATCAGGCTCGACTTTTTAAATTGTTCAATAAGAAAGTTCGACCTTGGTCATTTCAAATTAAAGACTTAGTATTAGTTGTTCGTAGACCAATTATCATGAATCATCGTAAGGGAAATAAATTTGTATCCAAATAGGATGGACTATATGTTGTTCGCTAAGTTTATACTAACGGTGCATATCTCATTATTGATGAAGACAGAGTAAGATTGGGCCCATTAATGGCAAATTCCTGAAGCGCTACTATCCATAAAGGCTATGCTCCTGATCGTGTGAGCTTAAACTACACTATGCTCCTGGACCACATGAGTTAAAACTGTGATCGCTGAAAAAAAAAAAAAAAATCATCACTCCTGGCCCGCATGAGTATAAACTGCGAATGGCAAAATAAATAAATCGGATTCATTGCTTGGTCGTAATAAAATGATATTTTTATTGCAAAGTATGTGAAAAATATATATATTAAGGCAACAAAGGGAGATCCACAATCTCATTTTGAGCACTTTGTAACAATTTCTCCAGTAAATTCAGGGCTCCTATATCATCGTCAGTGATGATGGGGGTTTCTTCAATGGAATTTCATTCCTCCTTAAATTTTGCAATGATAGTTTTTCTTTGGAGTATCCGGCAATTGGCCTCTTCAATCGCGGCTTTATGTTGTTCAATACAAGCATGCAAAAGTTCGATTTCTTTCATGTCTATATCATCTAAAATGAGAACTTCATTATGGCAAGAATCAACATCGGTTAAACGTTGAGCGCGTACTTCTTTAGGTAAGGCATGATCATGCTTGATTCGAACTTTGTTGTTTTCTTCACCATTCTAAATGTATGCATTAATTCTGTGGTGGAACTCTAGAAAATCTACACATTGTTTAGAGATTTCGAGAAAGATCTCATCAAATTTTGGTCTAAGAGATGGAATCTTCGAAAGCTGGGTACACTTTACTTTACTCTTGATGATATTCCCAAATGTTTTGGCTACCGTTTACTTAATCTCGGAAATAGCACTCCTCGGGTCAAAGGTAGTTGCAGAAGGTGTAATTCGTTGAGATGTTTGGACATACGCAAGGTGATGTCTCTCAGTCGATAATGCAATTTCTTTAACATTCGTACTCTTTTGTTGGCTTTGGGCTTCTTTTGCAACTGACAAGGCTCGGAGTTGTGTCTATTTTTCGAGAGATCCACTTCTTGTATGAAAGGGTTGTTCTCATCTTGAGTAATTGCACAGTTTCTTCTAGCTGCTAAATCAAACGCATATGGTCCATAAGTAAATTCTCCACTGCATATAGGATTTGTAACTATAACGACATCTTCTCCAAGAAAGCCTTCATTGCCTTTTGTTTGGAGGAGAAAAAAAAAAAAAAAAAAAAAAAAAAAACTATTAGATGTGATTTAAAAATATAAAAAAAAAATTCTTTACTTGGATGGGTTCCGAACTGTTATTAACTCCCTCAAACAAGCGATCTAGATTACGAGGAATAACAATCCGATCATATGGAAAGTTATTTTCTCCTACATTTTTCCAGTTACGGTCTTCATCATCGGTTTCTTTATCTGAATGGACTAACAATTGAGAATGGTGCCGAGATTCTGCTGGTGATAGAAATTGCTCCGTTGGCGTGCCTGCAATGATGTTGTTGATGTTGTGCTTTGCAATAGCTTCTTGTCTGTAAAAAGAATTTGACTTGGATCCAATAATGATGACTTTTCTGACTTTGGTTGGCGGTTCATTTGGAGAAACCGTACGCTTGGTCGATAGTGAGGTTGGTCTTTTATTTTTAAATGGACCAATATATACGCTGGACCACTATTTGGCATATGCTTTAGTAACTGAGGACTTCTGGTGGCTGGATGTTGAGGGAAGCAACACATCGCAACCAGAAGAATAATGGACGAATGAGTTCTAATGCTTTAAAAACTCTTTTAAGGTGCAACTACGAAAGTCATTCTTTAATTTTTCAGGAATATCTTGGTGGTACCCAAATTATTGGCTAAATCTGTGTGGACTATACGGTTCAATGATGAGACGGTCATTTTGCCGTAATGTCAAATAACATGATCGAAGACTGATTAGGGAGTCAGAGTCGGCCTTTATCATCTTTCCATTATCCATAATGAGTCACTGTTTTGAAGATCTTTTAGCCATACGAGTTAAATTTATTCCTTTATATGATCTGAATAAATTTTATGCTTCAAAATCGTCAAAGTATCTTGTTCCTCCTTCGCCTGCATATAATGTCATTTGAGGCCAATAGTTGATATGAGGAATGGTAAAATAAGTTCTGAAATATTCACTCAACAATCCGAATACATAATGTATAGGAAATATTGTAGAGCAGCTTCTAGGATCTAGTGAGGAAACAATCTCGTTCAAGCCTCTGTAAATACTGGCCAAAACCGGGATGGAAAGACAAATTTTGCAGCCATCTGCCAACATGCTTGCAACCTTAAAGGTCCCAGGATGAATCATGTTGCCAGGGTGTGCAGGCAAGGCAAATTTGTAAAGCCAACATGCTAAAAAAATAGCTAGATAAGTGGTGTCTCTCGATGCTTCATCTACACCAAGGTTGATAAATACTTCCTTCTCTTTGGTGGACATCGGCTGGACAGGAGGGATTACACCAGACGGGTTTTGAGTCCCCCTTGGACGTTGAACTTTATTTTTTGTTGTTCTTTTTAAGGGTTTGACATGTCTTGATACACATTTGAACCAGAAATTAATCCAATCAGATATCTTCACATTCTGATCTCCTTTATACTTCTTACAGAGTGTGTGGAAAGCCAAAAATAGGTGTTGACAACTCAGGGGGAGAGAATTTTTGTTGTTGCCAGCTCTCGAGAGTTCATCTACGCAAGGAATAACTTCATCATAAATTTTTCCTTGATGAGGAAGACCGCCTAGCATATATAAATCTCAAAGGAAAATTGACAGCTCGCCAATAGAACAATGAAGAATATTAGTGGCTGGGCACTAACATTCAAGGAATGTTTTGAATACATCTTCATGGTGATCATATGAAAATAGGAGGTGAATAGAGCACCATGTGGTTGTTGTTTTGATAAAAAGTCGTGGAAATGTGCCAAGACATCTTCTAACCACTCCCAATATAGTTCGGTGTGTGGCAACAACAGAAAGTATATAGGGAATACTCTGTGATACTTCCTTCGCCTGAACATTAAGACACAAGAGTGAAAACTGGTTTTCCTCAACAACTCTCTCATGAAATGAAGAATTTAGTATCAAGGCTTCAGAGACAATAGATTCTTCATTAATTTGATTAAGACCAAAGTTGGTGAGTTCGCATGTGGCCGTGCATGTCTAATAAGATGAACAATGTTCATTGTCAAGATAAGGCACTAGAATGGCATTGCGACCGAAAAGTGAGTCATATACACTTAATGTCATTCCTTGGACTCTTTGACTATTTTCGCTCTCTAAGATAGTCATCTTTTGCTTTGCGAAACACTTGAACACCACCATGATGGAACAACAACAAATTTTAAAGCTCAATTGGTGTTGTATAAAAGGAGAATTTTAATTTCTGCTACGGCTGACAAAATCAAGTTGATATACCCAATCAAGTCCTTTAAAAAAAATAATAATAATAAAAAGTTAGAGGAACGTGATAAAAATAAAAATTAAAAAAGACAGCAAAAGCGTGAAAAACGAGAATAAAAAAAAAAAAGAAGTCAACTATCAGTTGAAAGCAGAAAAGTTGCTAGACTTTCGTTTTTTCATTTGGCGTGCATGGTGATTGTAAAATATACATGGTATATATGTTATTTATGGTCTGGAAGTGATCAGTGAAAAAAAAAAAAAAAAACAAATTCAAAAGGTCAAAAAGTGGAGATTTCTTTGTTTTGCGTGATATCACATATGAATGATCATTGTGATTCTTTACTCTTCTTTGAGGACATGGCAATGTGTTTAGGAAATTTACCCCAAAGTTAGTAAAGCAGAAAAAAAAAAAAAAAAAAAAAAATGCAGAAAGGCATGAAAAAAAAAAATGACATACTGATTATTTGTTCAGGGCAAGCGAAGTTCTTCAGAGGCTGCAATCCTATAAGTCTTCAGAGGCTATTAAAATTGATGTCAAACCCCATGACATAGGTGGTATATATAGGCAACAAAATACCTCCTATTTGTACTGGGATTTGTATAATTCAGTTCAAATGGAAAAGTAAAATTCTAATACAAAGTTGAATAGAAAAGTGAAAAAGGAAACTTTACAAATTCAAAGATCATGATGGATACTTCAAGTCCCATTTGAAATTGGATAGAAAAGTGGAAAAAGGAAACTTTACAAATTCAAAGACCAGGTTGGATACTTCAAGTTCTGTTTGAAATTGGAGACAAGTTCGGTCAAATTGGGAATCGAAGTGGGGGCAATTTGTAGACACTAAAATTTTAATGGACTTTTATTTTGACAAATTGACTCATTAAATATGGGTCTAATGTTTAATTAAATTATTTAGCCCAAGCTTAGTCCATTTAAATTATTTAATTAGCCCAGCCTAGATGATTAAATAGAAAGATAATTATTCCTAATAAAATATATTTGGCATAATTATTTTTAAGGATAATTATCAAAATATAACCGGCTCGACCCAATTATAATTTTATCCTTATCAGGAGATGACACGTGCCATCATCCTATTAATCCAATAAGCCTATAAATAGAGGCCTGGAAGAAGGAGGAAGGACACAAAAATTCAGAATTCGGAAATCTACAATTCCAGAAAGAAATACAGAAACTCTCATCCCCAATATCCAAACCCAAAAGCGAAGAACACCATGCACATCAAATCGTGTCGTTCTTCATCAAATTTCACTGTGAATAACAACAAGCACAGCCAAAGATGTGCTGTTCTTCATCCAAATTCCACAGTAATTCAAGATCAAGCCGTGTAACCCTCAGATCCAACTAACCAAAAAGGAGATCGAATTAGAGGACCTTATGCTTTGTAAAGAATATTACAGAGGATTGTACTCCAATTTTTCCAATTTAATAAAATATTATTTTTGCTCCATATTTTGTTCTTATTTGCAGACTACAAAATTTGTGTGTACAACTTGTATAAAGTGGCTAAGGCCTCGAAATCTTCAAGCACTTCCACCTCTAGTGCTAGTATTCCTGTTGCTCCTTGTCCAACTGGGGAGGCCCTACAAGTCGCTAAAACTCAATTGCTCCAGAACCTTGGAAAAAATGTTGAAGAGATTCCTTCATTTTAACAAAATTTGATCACTGTCTTGTCTACATTGAAGGAAAATCCAAAGTTTTCTCCAGAGATTAAGTTGTCCTTAAATCAATTACAACACCAGTTGCCTTCCATGGTGGAAAATATCAATTCCTTGATAGCGGCAACTGCTGAACTTATCAGAAAGTTCAATTAAAGGATAAAGCTTCTGAGGATCTCAATAACAACCTTCATCCTTATCATGTGATCAAAACCAAGTTTAATCAACTGGCTGATAAAAAGAAAAGTCTTACTGCTAAGATAGAGAGAATTCAAAAGGAACTGGAAAAGCTTAAGACTAAAGAAGTTGAATTGGAACAAATTGCTCAAGCAATCTTTGCTGAGTTAAGCAAACCTAGGAAGAGCTGGGAAGATCTTGCTGAAGAAATTCCTTTTCTAGAAGAAATGAAAGACAAGGTTGTGGAAGTGGCTGACCAATCCAAGTGGTGTTGTTGCGGTTACCAATGCTTAATGATGTGCAAAGAGTGTGAGTGTGCAATGTGGCCAAGTTTTAAATTTATAATAGCCACTACTACCTCTAACTAAAAATATAGCTAGGGTGAGTAGGGATCGTCCCAAGAGATTATAGGCATGCTTGCAATGGAAACAAGGTATAGGGTTAGTAGGTAGAGTGATCAAAAGATGGTTTGTTTGGTTGAGTAAATTACAATGCAAACTAATTAAAGCAAGCTAAAAGTAACAATTTAGAAATAGGGAAAAAGATATAGAAGAGAGGACTTAGGGTACTAGAGCTCACCACTAAGCTTGACTTCACTAGACATTAGCAATTGTATATCAATGGGGAAATTGAATTGTAACTTATGTGTGTGTGTGATATTAATTGAAACTAGGCATAGATGGCAAATAAGTATAGATTGTCTAGCCAATTCAAATGCACAACCAATCAAATGAGACCAAAATCCATTCAATAAAACCACAATTTATGCCCACACAACTATCTAGAAACATACACCCTTTGCATTCATAAGTGTGGAACTCCACGAAACAAGAGTAGATTGTCCACCCATCTATGAATCTAAAGCAACTACACTACATCTACACTAAAGACATGGAAATTAAACTAAGTAAGCTAAATGTGTGGCACAATCCATCAAGAAACAAGTGTAAACCATCAAATAAATTACAAGAATATTCAATTAAGCAATATATTTTGACCATCTCTAGATTAACTTCATCCATACACATAGACATGTATAAATTCCACTAAATCTAGAGAAAAGCACATGAATCATCCATTCTAACATACATAGACATATGATTAGAAATAGTTAATCAATTGAAAGCATTAATCCATACACATTAAATAGAAACCACAAGATATATATATAAATCCAAGATCAAAACATTTGTTACAAGTAAATCCCCAAAAATATACAAAGCACTAGATCTAGGAAGCAAACTTAGGGGCTACTCTAGCCCCAAGTAGATGTTTAGCCACTCATTAAAGTAGTCATCCAACCCTCAAGGGCTATCTCCATGGTAGGAATGACCTCCTTCTTGATGGAAACCCTAGAAGAATGGAAGAACTCCCAAGAATGTGTAAAAGCTCTCTAGTCTCTAGTCTCCTCTCCAAGATATGAGATATGTTGTTCTATGAAAGTTATCAAAGTTTTTTCTCTTAAAATGGTTCCAAATCCTTATATAGGTAGCTCAAGTGTCACACCCAATGGTCTGGGCTCGTACACCAAGGTCCCTCCAATGATTGTACCACGAGCCAACTTTTAATAAGCTGGAATTTGTTTAATTTTAGACTTGAGGAGGTTCGATCGATCGAACTATGTTAAGATCGATCGAACTTGGGTGAGATCCATCGAATGCTGCAAAGATCAATCATCCTTACCGGCGCCTTTTTGAATAAAGACAAATCTTTGAGATATTTTGGGAAAGAGACAAAAGTGGTAGGTGGGGTGGTATGTGTGGATAAGATCAAATAATTTCGATCGATCTGAGAAGTGTTGGATTGATTGAAGATGGTGAAATCTTTTGGATAAGGACAAAGGCTTTGATCCATCTTGAAGTGTCTAGATCAATCTTTCTCTGATCGATTGAAGGAATGTTGAGATCGATCGAACTTGCTGACTTTCCACACTTTGCTTCGACTTTGCTCTTTTCTTCCATTCAGCTTGAGATAGCTTCTTTTATGCTCTTATTTAGCTGTATTGACTTATTTTTGGGATAGGCACCTAAAAAGGGCAATAATACGAAATTAGTCTAAGATGGGAAAATAAGATAGATAAAGGTCCTAGAATACCTAAGCTTAAGAGGTTTAAATACGCAATTTTCAGCGCTCATCTCTAAACTTTTTTGGGAAAGCTTCAAAGGCAAGTTTGCCTCTTTGTGAAATGATGTGGTTCTTTGTTAATCCTTATGTCCCTTCTTGGACACTTTCTTTTAATGTAACTATTATAGGTGTTTCAGCTTTGTACACCTTTCTTTTGAATGGCATGTAAGGGAACTTTCTCATATATTAAAATGCCATTTTTAGTTTCATCCCACTTATTTGTGCTTTCAAACACACTTTTATTTAATTAAAACAAAATGCATAAAAAATAAAAGGCAAGATTGAAAATATAACTTGAGAACCATGAGTTGGTTCCAAATACAATACTTTAAAAACATGAAAATAACCAAAATACCTCTTGCTGGAATATTTGGTTGTTTTATTCATTTGGAAATCCTACAAAAATTCATAATAGCCAAGGCTAGTGAAATGGCCATTAGAAAATTTTCAAGCGTTTCCATAGGAAAAATCCTCTTTTCTTCCAAATGCTACTTTCCTTTTGGAAGGCTTGACAAACCGTTCATTCAGCTGGTTTTAGTATTCTTTTCTCACAGGCTTCAAAGATTGAGAGGTGATACTGTTTCAAGTATACCCCATTGATGGGAGATGAATGAGGCTCACCATCTATATCCATCAACTGATAGGCTCCTTTTCCTAGACCCTTTCAAATAAGAAAAGTCCTTCCCATTTTGGAGTCCACTTGCCATACTCTTTATCTCTAGTTCCGAGTGGTAATTTGACTTTCCAAACCATGTCTACTTCTAGGAATGACTTAGCCTTTACTTTTTTATTGTAGGCTCATATCACATTCTTCTTTTGTGCAATGACATGGTCTAAAACACTTAACCAACCTTCATCAAGGTCTTCTGACTCTGCTAGCATGGCTTGAGTATATTCAGCTAGAGTTAGCTCATTTTGAAAAGCTACTTTTGCTGACTTCACTATTATCTCCATTCGAAGTACTACGTCTTGTCCATATGTTAACATATAAGGAGTAACTCCAATACTTAATCTTTTTGAATTTCTATATGCCCGCAATGCTTCTGACAAGAGGTTATGCCACTGCCATGGATACTTCTCAATCATCTTCCCAATTATGCCAATGATGACTTTGTTAGACACCTCTGCTTGTACATTTGCCTGATCAAAGTATGGAGTAGAGCTTATGAACTGGATATTATATACATCGAAGAGATTTTGCACCATACTTCCTAGCAAAGAAAGACTTCTATCAATGGTGATGGTTTCTGGAATTCCAAACCAGTGAATGGTACGTTTTTCAATGAAATCCATCACTGTTGATTGTACACAAGATTTTTAAGGAATGGCTTCCACCCATTTTGTGAAATTATCTATGGCCACAACTATATGAGTATGATTATCAGCAGAAGGAGGTATGATTTTTCCAATAAAATCTAACGCCCAACCTCTAAATGGCCAAATCTTCACCACAAGTTGCATGTTGATGGCTGGTACTCTCTGAATAGGACCATACTTCTGAAAAGCTTGACAACTTTTGGCAAAGTCATTACAATCTTTTAAAATGCCTCTCCAATGATATTCGTACCTTCTTAACAGCCATCTCATTTTTATTCCATCTTGATGAGCTCCACATAGCCGGTTATGAACCTCTCCCATGACTTGAACTGATTCCAGCTTGTCCAAACACCTTAGGAGAAGACCATGTTCTTTGTTTTTCTTGTACAATTCTCCGTCCATCAGAATGTAGTGAGGCGCGACAAGCTGAATTTTCTTATTCGCATCTGTGCTTGGATTCATCAGGAACTTAATAATAGGAACTCTTCAATCATCTGGATCCGCCTCCTCCAAGTCAACATAACTAACTTCCAAATGTTCATTCCTTATTTCTACAGATGGAAATGGTCTCCTTTTTATTGAGATTATGGTTTCTTCTACTCCAGGTGGAACTTTTATACTGGATGCTACTTGAGCTAGTACATCTGCCTCTTTGTTCAGGTATCTTAGCCAATGTTGTAACTGATAATCATCAAATTCATTAAGTAATTGTAAGGCCAAGAAATGGAAAGGCCTCAGATGATGACTAAGGCATCTGTATTCATCAGCCATTTGGTTGATCACGAGCTTGGAATCTCCAATGATAAGTACACTTCTTGCCTTCATTTCCAGTAGAATTTCTAGACCAATTATGAATGACTCATACTTAACCTAATTGTTAGTACACAAATAATCCAAAAAGAAAGAAAATGATGTCTTTCTTTACCTCAGCCCCTCCTCCATCACTAATACATGAACCATTAAAGAGTAATGTCCATGGAGAATGTTCGAGGTAGAGACTATCCACCTTGTCACACACTTCTGTTGCTATTTCAGTGGAAGGGTAATCAACCAGAAACTCTGCTAATACACGACCTTTGATGGCTTTCTGTGAAAAGTAATTAAAACTAAACTCCATCAAGACCAATGACCACTTTCCAATTCTTTCAATAATCAAAGGCCTCGATAGCATGTACTTAATCAAATTAGTTTGAGAAATAATGTACACAACAACCGAAAACATGTATATTCTTAATTTCGTAGCAAAATAATACAAAGCAAGATATGACTTTTTAATTGGAGTGTACCTACATTCCACTGGAGTGAGTACTCGACTGAGGAAGTAAACAGCCTGTTCCTTTCCCCACTCATTATTTTGTGCTAATAGAGTCCCAATGGACTCCTTAGCGGCCGATAAGTATAACCTTAAAGGCTGCTTCTTTATTGGTGGTATCATTACAGGTGGGTTGACCAAATATCTTTTAAGTTCTTCAAAAGCTGCTTGATGCTGGTTTGTCCACTGGAAATCTTCTATTTCTTTCAACTTCAGAATAGATGAAAAAACATGGTTTCTTCCAGCATAATTGGAAATGAATCTACGAAGAAAACCTATCTACCCCAGAAACCTTTGAAGCTCCTTCTTACTCTGAGGAGGTTGTGCTTCCATAATGGCCTTAGCTTTGTTCCTATCAACCTCTATTCCCCTCTGATACACCAGAAAGCCTAAGAAATTTCCAGCTGAAACTCCAAAAACGCATTTCAATGGATTCATCTTTAGTTGTGCATCCTTATCCTTTTAAAGGCCATCTCTAAGTTGATCAAGTGTTAAGGCTTTTCTGATGACTTGATGACCACGTCGTCTATATAAACCTCCATAAACCTGCCAATCATATCATGAAAAATCGCATTCATCGCCCTTTGGTAGGTAGCACCTGCATTCTTAAGGCCGAACGGCATAACCACCCATTCAAATGTCCCAATAGAACCTGGATATCTAAATGCCGACTTTGGAATATCTTCCTCAGCAATATAGATCTGACTGTAACCAGAATGGCCATCTATGAATGATAGAATTCCATTCTTTGCCATTGTATCTACCAATTGATCTACCATGGGCATTGGATATTCATCCTTTGGAGTTGCAAAGTTGATATTTCAAAAATCTATGCATACTCTTAGCTTGCATGCCATTCTTCTTGATGACTGGCACTATATTTGAAAGCCATTCCATATACCTGGTAGTTCTGATGAAACCCGCCTTTAAAAGCCTTTCAATTTCTTCTTTGACTTTCAAAATAACCTCCTATAACATTTGATGAGCGCTAAAAAGTGCGTATTTAAACCCCTTAAGCTTAGGCATTCTAGTACCTTTATCTATCTTACTTTACCATTTTAGATTGATTTCATATTATTTCCATTTTCAGGCACTTATCCTGAAAAAAAGCTAACTCGGCCAAATAAGAGCTTAATTGAGGCAATTCTAGGATTAAACAAAGAAAGGAGCAAAGTGGAGAAGGAAAGAAGCAAATAAAGCCAAAGGTGGCAAGCAGCAAAGTTCGATCGATCCAAGTTTAAGGTTCTATCAATTGAACAATGATCAATCTCAACACTTCAAGATAGATCCAAGCCTTGACCCAAAAGCATAAAGTCCAAAAGTTTGATCGATCCAACACCACCCTTCGATCGATCGAACACTTTTGTCCTTATTCAAATGATTGATCCTATCCACAGCTATACCACTCACTAACCACTTTTGTCCTTTTCTCTCAAAATATCTCGAATTTGTCTTTTCCCAAAAAGCTGAACCAGTTGGATCGATCCAGCCTAAGTTCGATGGATCTCAGCCAGTTCGATCAATCCAAGTCCAAGGTTTGATCTATCGAACTTCCTCCAGTGCAAAAAAGTTAAATTTCCATCTCATTAAAAGTTGTCCTTTTATCCAATCATTAGGGAATATTGTGTGCACGACCCCAGCTCATTTTGGGTGTCATTTTGACCTACCTATATAAAGATAAAGATTGCTTTTTACAAAGGAGAGCCAATTTCATTTTCATATCATCTCTTGGAGAGCAAGCTTAGAAGAAAAGGAGGCTAGAGACACCATTGGAGTTCTTCGTCAACAAGGAGCAGATTTCAACCATGGAGTTAGCCCTTAAGGGTCGGAGCAACATCACCATGAGTGGCTAGACATCCTCTTGGGGCTAGAGTTAGCCCCAAGCAAGCTTTCTATATCTTAATCTTGTGTATTATTGAGGGATTAGTGTTGTAATTGATGTTTTGGCACTTTGATATATATAGATCTTGTTTATTCAATGATTTATATGGTTATTGATCATTTCATTCTATCCATATGTCTACGTATGCTAGAATAGATGTTCATGTGCTTGTCTTTAGATTTAGTGTTATTGATGCATGTCTATGTGTATTGATGCTATAGATTTAGAGATTGTCAAAACATAGTGCTTAAAGGAATGCTCTTGTGATTCTCTTGATGGTTCATACTTATTCCTTGATGGATTCTACCTCTCCCCTGGTTTATTTTCATGCTAGTAGTGTAGTTGTAGTGTAGTGTTAAATAGGAGGACAATCTACATTTGTTATTTGATGATCCAAGCTTTTGAATGCAAGTAGCATATATCTCTATCCTTGTGTTGTATTTGGATTGTGAGCTTAATGAAAGGATTAATGATTTGTTTTAATCTTTTGTACCTTTCACACGTTGTTTAGACAATATTTGCTTCATTGCTTAGATATACTGTGCCTTTCACATGATGTTTAGACAATACATGTTTAACTAGTCATCCTTGCTTGTTGAATCAACCAAACATACACACACCAATATTGCAACACAACATTTTCCCTCATTAGTCACTTGACAATGGTATAGAAGTGCATTGTTTGGTGGTGATCTCTAAACCCCAAGATCTCTCTCTCTATTACTTACTCTTAATTGCATTCTTTTGTTATCACTTAGTTTAATTTAGTTGCTCTCTAATCAACCAACCAACCAATTGTTTGATCACTCGACCTACTAGCCCTAATAACAATTCCATGACATTGCTCGATCCTCCTAATCCCTTGGGACGATCCTTACTCACCCTAGCTATATTTATAGTGAAAGGTAGTAGTGGTTTCTATAAATGTAAAACTCTTGGCCCTCGCCTTAGAATCCACACACTCTTCAAGCTTGATGTGGTGGTTTACGGCAAACGCCCGCATCAACATTCTTCTAGGAGATTGTTTGAAAGGCCGGTACCCTTCCTTGATTGGTAGCTTGTGCTCCACCAATTTTTTAGAAAGACCAGGCAGCTCTCCATATGTCCAACCAAAGCAATCCTTGAACTCTTTCAAGAGAGAAATCAATTCCTCTTGGAAATTTGGTTCTAACAGCCCACTTATATAAGTTGGCAGTGGATCTTCCTCTGTCCCTAATTTAATTTCTAACAGTGGATCCTGAACCTCGACCTTAAATCATTAAGCTTTGCTGGAGTAGACTTCAAATCTGCTAGTTGGATTACATTTAGTTTACCTTCTGGATCTTCTATGGCTTCTACCAAGTTACTGGAAAGTACCTTGGCACATCGTCTACTTTGTTCTAGCCATAATTCAGCTAGGTATGCTTTTAATCTTGCTAGGCAACAATTCATCGCCTGGTTTCTTTCCCTCTCTTTCTTGTGAGCTTCTTGCATTAAAAATTTTTAAAGTGAAAGGCATTAGACCTCAGCCTGTGAAAGGATTGCTGGCCTAGACATCTCCTGGAACAACTCTTTAGCTTCTTCTTCTATAAGAGTTTTCTGCATTATTGCCGACTTGGGTCGGCCCTTGCTGTCTTTTCCAATGAACCTTACTGTCATGAACTCTCCATTGTCAAGCTCGGCATCTGCATGATATACTTTCGCAATGAATGCTTTATTGTCTACTTCTACAATCTTAACTTCATCGCTATCCCAAAAAATTAGCATTTGATGCAACGTGAATGGAATGCAAAATTTGGGATG